AATGGAACAGAATAGAGAATCCAGAAATCAACCCATACACCTACAGCCATCTGATCTTCAACAAAGGCCAGAAGACTACAACTGGTGAAGAGATTGCCTCTTCAGTAAATTGTGCAGGAAAATTGGACATTCATATATAGGAGAATGGAACTAGACTCATAATTCTCACCAGATACCAAAATCAACTCAAAATGCACTAAAGAATTAAATATATGTCCTTAAAGAAAACATAGGGGAAACACAAGATCCCAAAGGGCACCAGCCTCAAACTTGATCTACTTGCCTACATTGCCCACCCCAAGCTTGGGAAGTGTGCTTGTGCCCGCACTGCCAAGGGTCTCATGCTCTGCCAGCCAAAGGCCAAGGTCAAGGCTCAAACCAAGGCCCAGGACATGGCTTCAGCTGCAGCTCCAGCTCAAGCTCCAGTGGCAGCTCCAGCTCAGGCTCCAAAAGGTGCCCAGGCCCCCATGAAAGCTCCAGAGTAGAGACCTCTGTCTGCCAATGTAAGGACAGAAGGACTGGTGTGACCCCTGGGCTGTTNAAACATAGGGGAAACACAAGATCCCAAAGGGCACCAGCCTCAAACTTGATCTACTTGCCTATTTTGCCCACCCCAAGGTTGGGAAGTGTGCTTGTGCCCGCACTGCCAAGGGTCTCATGCTCTGCCAGCCAAAGGCCAAGGTCAAGGCTCAAACCAAGGCCCAGGACACGGCTTCAGCTGCAGCTCCAGCTCAAGCTCCAGTGGCAGCTCCAGCTCAGGCTCCAAAAGGTGCCCAGACCCCCATGAAGGCTCCGGAGTAGAGACCTCTGTCTGCCAATGTAAGGACAGAAGGACTGGTGTGACCCCTGGGCTGTTGTCTGCATGGGGCTGGTGTCCTCTTGTGTTTGTATGAATAAACCTGAGGTAGGATCTTTTTAAAAAAATGAGAGGTAAGGGAGGAAGAATAAGGAATACATAATTTTCACTTGTTGAGAATGAATGAGTTGAAGCCAGAGAAATGATATAAAGCTGAGGGACAGTGTTCCTTAAAGATGGAAAAAAGATCAATGAACCCTAATTTTAGCCAATGTCTTTCCTCTCCTCTTTCGTTATGTGTGGGTTCCATGAAAATCCATCATCTAGTTAATTCTGCCTCTGGATTTCCAGGTTAATTTTTCACATTTTCTGGCACATTTAAATTACTTACTCAGTAGTTAGTGATGTATTGGTTCCAATGCTGTCTGGCAACAATTTATAATAACAAAGCATATCACAACAACAGATTCTCTTTGTTAGTAATATTGATATTTTAATTAATTTAAATATTTTTGGTAAATAAAAAAAACGGCATTCAAATAAAGATCAAATTTAAGGTTCTTAGCCCCTTGTGACTGGTTGATCATCAGTAATGATCTCACCCTACATCATTCCAAACTGATGTAGCAGATGTATCTTGAGTCCCTAGAGAGTCTGAAAAGGATAATTAAAACAATACCAGTTTTTTTAAATTACTTGAGACATATTGGAAATGGGGCTGTTTTCCTTGCTTCTAAACAGCTATGGCTGCCTTTGGTTTGTTAACTTCATTTTGGAATGGTTTCATTACTTTTATCTTATATACAAGTTTTTTCCTCTATGCCTCCTTCTTTTGGCTGCCTGTGTATTTAAATTCATTTCCTAAAAGAATGTTTAGTTTTTAAAGCATGGCTTACAAAATAAAATGAACAAACTACAGTCCTAAAATAAACAGCGTGAATGAAGCATTTCACTCCAGTAGCCAATTTCCTCTTTATATATCCTTTTTGCAATAATAGGCACTGTTAAATGAATTGAAGTTTCTGGATTTTTTTTTAATGACATTATATACTTTTCCCCCCATTAGAAAAGTAATTTGTATCTAGGAATTAAAAATACACTAGCTGCTTTGACATATGTGTAACAATCAAATCCTTCCATCCTAAATTAGACCAGGGTTGGAAAGACATAAACTTTTAGCTTTACACTCTCCACCGTTGTAGAATCCTGGAGTGGGAGTATTTGAAATTCAGAGAATGAAAATTGTCTCTTCATGGGAATCTCTTCATTGACTGTGAACTGAATAAGTTTTGTGGTGATTTGTTACTGTCATACTCATTTGTTCTTATATACTTTTCTGGATTACATCATTTTGCCATTCTGATTGCTTTAGTTTAAAACTTCAGGTTCTATAACACTGTTGCATAAGGCAAGGAGCATTTTAACCTATATTTACTGTCTGGAGTTTTCATTAAGAAATAAAAATGCAGCTACTTATGTGAACACTAGCTCAATGTACAGTGTGTGAAAGAATAAGGAGTAATTTAGTGAAAAGAGATATGCTGCTATTCTGCAAAGAGCAAAAGACATTTCCGACAAATCTATTTCAACAGAGGACTTGGGAAGCTCGTCAACTTATATCTACTGCTAAATTCAGTGGCCAAGTTGTTCTCCACTGGAATATTCAGGAGATAAAAAACAAAAGGATGTTCCTACATCTTTTTTTTTTTTTAAGAGTAGTTAATCTGACTCAAAGATCGGATTATAGGGAAAGATATTGTTGAGATGTTGAAGCTTTCCCTGTACTATATTCCATTAAAAGAAAACAGAAATAGATATCATGTGAAAAATCCCTAAAATGAAAACTACTGGTAAACCACTCATTAGGCAAATAAATAAAAGACATAGTTTAGGTTGGATTTTTAGTAGTAAAATTATTCATTATGAATATACTTATGATTGAAAATATCTTTATGCTAATAGAATTTTAAGTAAAATGCAAACAATAAAACTCGTTTGACTCTGTCATCTTATTATGAGAAACAGCTATAGAAAAAGTTTGAAAAGAACTAACCATCCACATAATTTTCATTAGAAAGGTATCGTCTTTTTAAAAATTTAATAATAGAGTAGTTAAAACAATAACCAATGAAAAAAAATCATGTGGTAAGGAATTAAAACAGAACTACTAATATTTTGCACGAAACACATTTATTTGAATTTGACTTACAAATGAAGACTTTTAAGTGAAAGAGAAAAAAAAAAAAAACCTTTAAACTTTATTCCAGTCCACACACTAATATTTATGTGTGTACAATATAGCTGTTGAACCAAAACTAGATTCAATAAAATAGAATAGCTAAATGGAACTGACAGAATTCTTAATGTTTATTTTAATATAAAGTAATAAGAAACACTCATATTCACCTTATTTTGAAATGTCAATTATAAGCTCTGGTGAAAATAATATATTGAATATAACATAATACTCATATTTTATTTAGGAAAAATCATAAGTGATCGTTAATGGGAAAATTGGAATGTTCAGATTGAAATATATGGTTAAGCATCAAGAATTACTTTACATAAATAAAAGTAATCATATGAAAATGTGAGCTGCACTTAAAAAGAAAAATCAACCACTTAATTGTAGAATAGCTAATAGGATATTTTGAATATAATACATGATATTTGAAAGAGTAATTTACGCAAGTGATTTATGTAGGTGCTGCAGAATTTATGATTATGTTTATTATTTATCAGAAAAATATGATGTTTTTTCTTTATCTGAATCCAAAGACATGGGAGTTTTTTTTTCATATGTCTTGCAAATATGATTAATGTGTAATTTACACCCAGAGCAATAGAGCACATACATTGCTTGGTTTCATAAAAAAAATAAGTACAAAGACCTCTAAACACATTTTTCAAAGAATTTTTTCTACTTTATGTAATTCTAGTCTTCTAGAAAAAGAGGAATAAAAATTGAAGCTTGAAGTCTAAAGTTACAGATCCATATCATAAAGTACATATAGTTACTTTATGCTAATTTTAAATTGACAACATATTATCAATGTTTATAAATTCTCTTGAAAATAAATCTTTCCTGACCAAAAAAAAAAAAAAAAGCCTTTCATCAGTTAACTACTTTCCTTTTCAAATTAAAATGAATGTGGTTTTCAGACTTTTAAATTTGTGCCCTACCCTCACCCCCCACAGGAAGTGTCCACCCTATGGGCTAGTCTTATTTTATAACTATAAAATGTGAAATTGGAAATTCACAATGTTATATTACTCCTAGCAGTAAAAAAAAAAAGAAAAAAGAAAAAGTTTGTCCACTGTACAGTGTATTCTATTATATGCAAAGGAATTAAATTGTTTCCCCAAATTAAATGAACACTTTTAAATAACCTAAATGACATCCATTTTGAAAAGTATTTGTACATGTAGCATATCATTATATAGCATTGAAATTTTTATCTAATTTGTTCTTGGTTTGGAATCAGATATTAATAGTTAATAATTGCTTAAGTATGACAGTAAATTTGTCTGCCCTAGGTTCTTACTTTGCCACTAAAACTGATGATCAGTTTGTGTATTTGGTAAAATGTTTCTCATCTTTCTTGCAATCTATAAAGTACAATGGTGTGGAGATCTGGATTCATAGTCTTGTTCTTAAGAAAAGATGGGATGGAACTGAATTTTAAATATATCTTTAGAGTGATAAACCTGATCTCTGGGGAGATGTGTTGGCTGCAAGACTTTAAGATAACCCCACAATACTAACCTGTTAATGGGCTGTTGCTGACCTAAGGTGGAGGTGAATCTTACTTTCTACCTGATGCCACATTTTCCCTAAGAAAGAACTTGGAAAATTAAGGGGAGGCAGCTTGGTGCTCCAAGTCTTATCCATTGTGTTTTGTTACTTTATTTTTAAACTTGAACAAATTTTCTAGCCTGTAATTTTAACGTCTAATGAATATGTTATAAATAACTTTATTCCTTCTCTCTCCAGGTGTTTAATTATCAAACAGCATAGAAGTCTTTTGTACTACTATTTTCCTTTTGTGCTTTATAATGATATTAACCTGCTAGGACAATTATTTTAGGTATTGTCCCCAAAATATATGTAAGTCATTTTAACATAAAATGAGTTTTCCCTTACAATTATGTGCCTCCCCAACACAATCCATCTTTAAGAATTTAGCGTAGGTGAAATCTACTGACATTTAAATTGTGATTCATTCTACTTGCATCCCAGGTTAGGATTTTGTTTGTCTGCCTGTCAAATATGCCCTCACTTTTGAACTCAGCTAGATATTCTTGCCCTTAAGGCACTTCACTATATATAATCTTATTATAATACTCATATTTGTAATACTCAACTGTCTGTGTATCAGGCCAGATCTCAGAAATAGTCGTCATCTCCATGAAATACTGATGTGTTCTTATGGATCTCCATGGCCATTCTTCCTCTGCTATCATCTATATGGACTTTTCAAAGTGGGAAGAAAAAGTGCAATATTTAGATTTAGCCATTTAACCAAAAAAAAAAAAAAAAGGACTTTTTTATGTCCATAAATAGATTTTCCTTTTTTTTTTTAAGATTAAAATAACCTGGAAGTGAAAGTCATCAATTCTTCTTATCTAAGGTGGGAATAAAACTTGCGATGAAGCTATTAGAACCTGAGTTTTAAAAAATGCACACATTCGTTTATTCAATCAGTTGCTGCCAGGAACTGGGACAGTCACTGGAACTTTCAGCAAATCACTTGAATTTGAACTCTCTAACCCTCAATAACTAAATCTGTAGAATTGGGATGACATAAAGAATAAAAGGGAAAAATAATCAAAACTAATGGACACATATGGGCGAAATAAGTGGTAGTTATTAATGTAAGCTTTTTAGAGTAATGATTAAGAGGGCGGATTTTGCAGCAAGACGGCCCAGGTTTAGTTATATTCACTTGCTATAGAACTTAGAGAAAATACTCTATAAAATGAGTATACAGTATTATCTTTCTCA